TTTATGTTATCAGTAAGGCTTCCAGTCAACAGTGGGCTACAAGTAGTTAAGTTTTGGGGGAGTCAAAAGTTATACACAGATTTTTTTTTTTTTTTAAAGATTTTATTTATTTATTTGACAGAGAGAGACACAGCAAGAGAGGAAACAAGCAGGGGGAGTGGCAGAGGGAGAAGCAGGCTTCCCGCAGAGCAGGGAGCCTGATGCAGGGCTCGATCCCAGGACGCTGGGATCATGACCTGAGCCGAAGGCAGATGCTTAACAACTGAGCCACCCAGGCACCCCTACACACAGATTTTTGACTGCACGGGGAGGTTGGCAGCCCTACCCCCTGTTTTGTTCAAGGGTTAACTATACTTTAAGGGTGGCCAAGAGCTGACACTCTCCCTGGACTCCCAGTCTCCAGGGAGATACATTTTTTTGTTTAAGTCACTGTTCTTTTGGATTTGTGTGTGTTTGCATCTAAACCTGACCCTGAATAACTCACCTACCTCTCATCGGCATGGTGTCTAACACTTTACATAGCACTTCCAGGTACATTATCTCATCTCAACAGACAGGTAAATACCCATTTTCCTGTGCTGTTTCTAGCAGGTCCTGGGTTCGAAGAGAGCCAATGAGGGCCAATCGCAGCCATCAGAGAGCTGTTTACCTGCCGAGGCTGAAGACCATAGGGAAACTGAAAGCATCTTGTTGAGGGGCAAAAGAAAGATGTTGCTTTTGGAGTTAATGACCACTTTAGGAGGAACGGACCTGCCTCCATCTTTGTGCAGCAAGGCCCTGACTGGGACCCAAACCCTCCTCTCACCATTTCACTACCCATTTTTAAACCGGTATTTTGGTCTGTGGCAAGAACTTTATATAAATATGGTCTTGTGGATGGTTTTCCCCCTGAAACAGAGCTTCAGCAATGGTTTCATTACTCACTGATGAGTTGTTGAACTCAGCCTCAGTGCAAGCTCTTGAGGAGTAGGTCTGCTTTGTGACAGAAATGGTATTGGTGGCTGGAGTAAGAGTCCTTGTGCTAGATGGTACTCTGATGCCACCTGCTCTACTTGGTTCCAGAGTGGCAACTGGCCTGTTGTCCCCCAGAGTTGTTTCTGTCTTATTCTGTCTCCACCTCCCTGCACTCTCTGGCACACCCTCCCTCCACCCCGAATCTCACATAGGGCTATCTTCCAAAGCTGTCCAGCATTTTTGCCCAGGACCCCTTCTCTCCCACTCCTCTACGAAGTCCTAGCAAGACCTGGCTAATTCTATCAAGGCCCAGCGTGACCCAGCTCTTCCTTAAACTTGCCTGTTCCATTCCAAGAAGTCCAGCCAGGGCAGGATGTCCCTTATGAAGCAGGCATGTGGATTCACAGCAGGCATCCTTTGGGGGGGGTTGGCTCTGAGCAAAGGAGGCATACGTCATGGTCTAAGCAGAGCCCTGTTTTCCAAGGGCAGTGATGAGAGGGGTTGATGGTACTCTGATGATTTAATGACAGTAATGGTTTTTCTTATCTATTATTCATATTTTTACTCCTGGCAATCCTGTGAGGTATTTAGGGTGAATGTTATAGATATGATCTCCAAGGAGGAGAAGGGAGCAAAAACTAACATTTAGTGAGAACCAAGCGTGAGTTTTTGGTCCACACTGGCTGGTATCACAACAGGTAAGGGCATGTGTTTGAAGTGAGTCAGCGCTTGGTTGCACACTACACCTGCTGTGTAGACTCACTGGCTGTGAGGCTTAGACAAGCCGGTAACCTGGAGTGGCTGACTGTAAGCTCAGAGCCTTGACTGCCTGCCTCTTCAACAAAGTGAAGATGAGGGACCTTGGATCTACCTAGATGGGAGCTCTCTGGTGCCCTGGGAGGCCGCCCCCTACAGTGGCCACCAGAACAGGCTTCACAGGCAGGCAGAGCTGCTGGAACGATCCTGGCATCATTGTTCAACAGCCAGGGAACCTTGGCCAAGTCACTAAATTCAATCTGAGTCTCTTTTCCGCATCCGTAAGGTGGTGATGGAAACAGGCCCAGCCTCCAGGAGTTGTTATAATGATTGAATGAGGAGGCAGGTAAATTGTCTTTTGTTCCACAAAGAGTAGGGCTTATTTTAATTATCTTTATCACTACTAATTGAAGAGGATATTCTAATGTTCTGGGGAAAAGGAAACCATCCACCTTGCCCGGCCACTTACCTGGAATGGAGATGCACTCAGTGAATGAGCTTCTCTTGGGCTGTTGGGGCAGCTTTTGAGCCACCATCTTTGGGCTGAAAGCTGCCCGGTTGTGTGGCTGGCCTCTGAGGCTGTTGCCCACTCCCAAGTTGCAGATCTGGTTCCTTTCACCCTTATAATAGGCCCTGGCAGAGCTGCCTAGGACAGCCAAGGTCTCCAGGGACCTCACCTAGTCCTGCCTGATCCACTCTGCCCCTCAGCCCTCCTAGGACTCAGTCCTCCTGAGGAATGTGGACTGCTCTGAGCCCCCAGAGTCTGGCCGGCACAGTGCCTACCCGGGTGAGCCAGTTGCCCTGGGCACCCCGTCCTCCAGTCATGGAGACCTCAGCAAGGACTCACATTAACCAGCTGGGCTCCCATTGTTCCTTCTTTCTCCAGGCCCACACAATTGTTAGGAAACTGATTCTTTGAATGGTGTTGGCTTTCTCAGCTTCTCCTGCTCTTTGCTCCGTTTTCAATTGCCTGCAGTGGTGTAGACTCTGTACCACAGGGGATCAGTGTACCAGCTTCAGGGTCAAGCGGCCCTGGTTCACATGGCCTTTCTTTGCAGTGATTGGCAGGTACTCAGCGAGGCAGGCGCTGTATGGCACGTGATGCCAAGTGCTTTACAGGGATTAGTATTAGCTCACGGACCCTCATAACACATCCATTAGACAGCTGCTTTTAACAGATGAGGGCATTCAGGCACAGAGAGGTAAAATAACTTTCTCAAAGCAGCATAGCATGGGGGTCTGTGACAGCAAGGAAGGGAGCCCTGGGAGGGGAGAAGGGGGGAGGGGAAGAAAGAAAAAGAGAAAAGAGGAAGGTTACTTCACACCTTGCCCCAAGCTTGGCTCCCCAGCTCCCCAGGGGGTGCAGGGGTCTAACTGACTTAGCCACTCTCTCAGTTTTGCCAGAAGGTGTGGGGGTGGGGAGAAGAGGTCAGCTAGGATTGAAGGGAAGGTTTATGAAGAGACAAAAAGGCCTTGCACGGAAAAACACATCCTAACGGTTTTGGCAGACAGCATGTGAAAAGGTGCTTTCTTCCTCTGGGGGAGCAGGAAGCCAGCCAGGATGCCTTTCAGTAGGTCATAAGCAACCATTTAATTCAGAACCTGTGTTTAGATCCCAAGGGAGCTCAGGCCACCAAAGTCATGAATACACATGAGCCTAATGCAGCCTTGTGGACAATAAGACAATGAAGGTGACATCTCCGATTCCCGCGGTTGCCACGTTGTTTTAATTTGTAAACTAACGAACAATTTCAGATGTAAGAGCGTTGGTCTACAGAGAAATGTTAACCTTCAGCAGAGATTTTGTCTCTTCTGATATGTGATTTCCACATCTTCCCTGGGTTTCAGCAGTTTCCTCTTCTCTATTCCTAAAAGAACCTGCATTTCCCTTTCCTGACTCCCTTCCTGGCTTCCTGTGTGCTAAGCCTTTGCAGTTGTCATCATCTCTTCAGAATGCATTTGATAGGTACAGGAAGTTGCACCAGACGGGAGATGGGAGATGGAACCAGCAATCAATAAAAAAAGAACTATGTTTCTAAGAAAAATGCATCACGGCTTCCCACCGGAGTTGTGTACCATATGTCCTAATATCCGTGGAACAATGGAACTAAATTTTAGCTCTTCTGCTTGGCTTTCCCGGCCATTCTCAACAAAAAGAAAAGAGACTTTTCACCTGCTGCTACCCAGCTTCCCGAGGATTCCTAGTACAGATTGCCTTTCCTTTTAACCCTTTCATCAGATACCACAAAATAAAATCTCTCCTTCCAGCTTTATTTCTCCTGGCTACTAGTTTAGTATATTTATGGTGCATGAGTCATCAAGCTGCCGCCTGATTGGATAAAAACCAAGCACCCCTGAGACCATCAGTCAATTACAGCTATTCTCAGCTTCATTCACAGATTTATTAGCTTGCACACACAGAGAGAAATTCATTCAGCAAAGTTCATTCATAAAAATTTCAACACTCTGCATCATCCTGCACATCTCAGCCTTCTGCTGCCAATGGGCTCCCGAAAGAAGCTCTGAGCTGAGTCCAGGAGGGAGGGGAGCTCAGAGCTAGGGTGGGCAGGCTGGGAGGGGATCTGAGGAACACGGAGGGATCGCAAGTCCATGAAATAATGCAGAGCACTGCCCGTCACTAGTACTTCTGGCTTGTGGCCCGGACAGGATGCGAGACAAGATCTTCCAAGAGAGGGCAGCTATCAGAATCGACGAACTCAGGCTGACGGGCCTTTGGCTCATATATACATTTGCTCTTTTTCCTTTTTTAAATGAACAATCACTGGAACAAATAAAGGGTTAATAGGCCAGTCATTGCCCCGCCCTGTGAGAGCCGGAGGGAGCAGGTTTGAAAGTTCCTGTGTGCAGAAGGGGAGGCTGGGGGTGGGGGGCGCTAAATATTCCTGCAAGGCTCCTGCACCGCCCGCTGGCGATGCGGCGGGACGGGCTGGCCGGTGTTCGGCCCGGTTCCGTGCCTGAGAGTTGGCCGTGAGTGATCCCTGCCACCGCGAGCCCCGGTCCAGGCGTTCCCGGCAAGGAATCCAAGGCGAGAACACCGAGTGCTGCCGCTGGGGCCAGGGAGGGACTGAAATCAACTGGGGAGGCGTTTTCTCCCCAGGCTGTCACCCAGAAGGGCCTGGGAGCCGAAGTGGGCGAGGGAGAGTGCAGAGTTGGAGAGGTGGCTGCCGCAAGTCGCATGGGGCGTTGAGGCATTTGCTTTCCGTTCCGTTTATCTAGCAGACGACGAGGCGATTTATGCAACAGTATCCTGTTTCAGCACTGCCAAGGCTATGCGAAAACGCGGTCAGGACAGCCTGGCAGGACTTGTGCTGTATGTAGGACTCTTCGGGCACCCCGGGATGCTGCACAGGGCCAAGTACAGCCGTTTTCGGAATGAGTCCATCACGTCCTTGGACGAAAGCAGCCCCGGAGGCTCGGTGGGGAACAAGGGCTCGCCTCAGCCTCCCTACCCCACCCTGGCACCTCACCTGCCGGCTGACGATGCCACCTTGGCGTCCCAGGAGAGCCCCACCCCACTGTGCACCTTGATCCCTCGCATGGCCAGCGTGAAGCTGGCCAACCCAGCCACCTTGCTGAGTCTGAAAAACTTTTGCTTGGGTACCAAAGAGGTGCCCCGGCTGAAGCTCCAGGAAAGCCAGGACCCGGCTCCCAGTGGCCCAGCTTCCCCTGAGACCCGTCTAAATAGGGCTGGGTCCGCACCTCCGCCGCAGCCAGACCTGGTGGGGCACAGGGCAACTGTCTTAACTCCCGATGCCTGTCCCCTTCCTGGCCCTGGGGAGCCAAGCCCAGGGAGCAGGCAGGACAGGCACTTTCTGCAGCACCTGTTGGGGATGGGCATGAACTACTATGTGAGGGTAAGTCTATCTCCCTCTCTGTGCTCCTTCTAAGAACTCCTGGGGAAAGGGGCATCTTCCCTGTGTTCTCCAAGGGGCTGCACACCACCTGGCTGGGTTCTAGGTTTGGACAAGACATTGTGTAACTGGACTGAGAGGAGGGGAGCTGGGCTTACGGGTTTCCCTAGGAATATCTGGCTTGTACCGAAGTCAGATAACTTTTGGTTCAAGGACATGAACTGGTGCTAACTTGTAGGTAGTTTCCAGGGGGTAGGGACAACTTCTGATGGAGACGGCGAGATGGTGCCTTCTTGTCCCCCCCTGGACCTAGCATTCTGACCAAGAAGGGTGAAGAATTTCAAATCTGTTTAGTGACTGAGACCTGCTGGGCTCTATCAGCCACTGTATTTCGGTAGGGATTTCTGTGCTAGAGGAATGCATGATGTGTAAGGGACTTGAATTATTTTTAAAAATGTAATTCAGCATTTAACAAGTACTTCTGAAAGCGTGGCTGTGTCTCTGTGCCTGTGCTAAGAGCTAGTCTTAGGTCTTTGGTGCCCCCCCTCCCCCCGGCTTTATTGCCTACACTGCGGCAGGTGGGCCTTGTCCATGAGCTGTGTGCAAAATCAGGGTCCTTACTGGTGTTGCATATGCCCTTGCTCATTCCAGATCTGGGTAAGAGAAGAGAAAAAGATTTGACCCCTGCTCTTCTGGAGCTCACATTTCAGTCAAGGAAAACCAACCAATGCATGTGAAGTAATAAGAGAACAAGACTTAGCAATAGAAATCTAGTGTGAGAATGCTGAAGGAATTCAGAAAAAGGAAATGGTTTGTTGTGGTCGGGGATTCATTTACATGGGAAACCTTCAGAAGGTGTGTCTTGGAAGAGATATCAGGTCCGGTTTGACAGAAAGGAGGAGATTCCTGGCAGGGCAAAAATATGAGCAGTCTGAAAGGCAGGTATCACTGTGGTGGCCACAGGGGAGGATCTTATAAGCCGGGCTTAATTGAAGAGGGGAATGCTGGAGGGTAGTTGGTGATAGAGTGGCTGGCGCATCGTTGGTGCTCAAACGCATGTGAGTTGAATAGAGACAAATATAGATCCTGGGTAGCTTGGGGAAGAAGGAGCCGTTGACTGAAGTTCTTAAATGTCAAGGGGGAGTTGGTAAACACTGTGACTGGTAAACAAGAACCCTCGCTTGGTTTGTAGGCAAACTGTGACTTGATGAAAGTGGTTTCAAAAGGATCAACCTGAATTGATTTGAGATGGATGGAAGCAGGGAGAGATTAGAGATTGGGAGGCCAGTCGGAAAGCTACTCCGAGAGTTTAGGCATGAATGGATGAGAACCTGGATTAAAGTGGAGGTGTGAGAAAGGAGGTGAAGACAAGAACCTCTGCGAGAAGCCTCCATAGTCTTGGGTGATCCATCAGACCATTTCAACTCATGATACAAATAGCAGAATAGTGAACATTTATTGAACAGTGGGTAGACTGGTGAATTTGTTGTTGTTGTTTGGTTGTGGGTGATTATTGATAAAAAGGTTCTGAGGAGTGAGATAGAAGCAGAGTGAGTTGGGAAGGGGGTCGTGCTAAGTTTGCTTAGGCCACATGATGTTTAAAGTAATGACATCTCAGTGCTATTAATTTGTAGGTAAGTAGTCATGTAAGACCAGCACTCAGGTGAGAAGTCTGATATGAAGGTGTAAATTTGAGAGATAGCCAATAATTAGCACAAATGGACAAATAAGATCTCAAGGAAGGGCAGATAATGAACGCTGAGAGAGTTCCAGGGAGAGGAGGCATGGGACAGCTTTGGCAAATGGATAAGTCAAACCTCTAAGGAAGATAAACTTATGGGACACTCAGTTCTTGCCCTCCCCCAGAGTGGCATGGCTCATAATGGAAATAGCTTCATATATCTACTAAAAGTTCATGGGCACATTCTCATTTGTCAACCGAAGTGTCTGGCTCTAGTGGGAAAAGAGCGACTCCAAACCTGTGTTCTCTGCACCTGCCTTCCCATCACGTAGACATCCTGTACTCTCAGCCCTGCCTTTCCTTCCCTTTTGCACTTCCTCCCACCTCCCCGCGCCCACACACCTGTACAATTTTGAATGTGAAAAGAGTTGCTGTGTGCCCTCCACTTTCCCTAGGGAGTGTTTCCATTTTCGATTTTTAATGAGGATGTCTGTCTTTTCATGGTGATAACTGACCCCAGGGAAGGCGCTGACCCCCATGACCCAGGTGAGCCACACTATATTGCCTAATAGACAATGACATGAGACACAAGTTAACACTTCTCATAGAAGGTAAAAATATATGGAAGTGCATACTTTGTTAATTGTTATAGAAGTCCAACTTTGAAAGATGGAAGGGACACAGAAGTTATCAAGTTCAATGCCTCTGTGGGGAAACTGAAGCCCAGAGAAGTGATTTTTTTAAGGCCACCAGGTGAGGCAAAAGGAGAGTTAGAACTCAAGTTCCCTGTGTGCTATTCTTTGCTCTTTTCACCACAGGTTTCCATCCTGGTTGAGATTTTGTTCCTCAGAATTCTTTTAGATATGAACCAATTTTAAAAAAATGAAATGCCAACCTATTAATTTACAGTTAATAATTATCATACCAAGTGCACCCAAATTGTGATCCCTGTATTCCCATCTGTAGGAAGACGCACATAGGAAGATTTAAATCAAAAGTTTCTTAGGGGACGCCTGGGTGACTCAGTCAGTTAAGCATCTACCTTTGGCTCAGGTCTTGATCCCAGGGTCCGGGGATGGAACCCAGCCTCTCGGGCTCCCTGCTCACTGGGGAGTCTGCTTTTCTTTCTCCTTCTCCCTGCCCCCCTGCTCATTCTCTCTCTCTCTCTCAAATAAATAAATAAAATCTTTAAAAAAAAAGTTGCTTAGGGGTGCCTGGGTGGCTCAGTTGGTTGAGCATCCGACTCTTGGTTTTGCCTCAGGTCATGAGTTTGAGCCCTGAGTCTGGCTCAGTGCTCAGTGCAGAGTCTACTTGTGATCTCTCCTTCTCCTTCTGCCCCTCCCCCTGCTCGCTCCCTCTCTCTCAAATAAATAAATAAATAAATAAAATCTTTAAAAAAATAAATAAAAATTTGCTTAGTGATGATGGAATCAGAGCAGAAAAGTGAGAGAGATATTCTTGATGGCTAGTGGGACATAGAAGTAGGCAAAAAGTAGCCATATATTCTACTTCCTTATCCACATCATGTGACTTCTCCTTTCCCTGCCCAAACTTATTTGTTTATTCATTCACTCATTTATTCAACAAATATGTATTGTGAACCAATTATGTGACCAGAACTATTCCAGGACCTGAGGATACATCAGTGAATAAAAAAGAGTAGGTCTGAGCCCCCGTGGAACTCACATTCTGGTGAGTGGAGATGAGCCCTGATTGAATAAACAAGTAAATATAATATGTCACATGTACTAAGTGATAGAGCAATAAGACAGGGGAAGTAAGAAAGGCAGTTGCTTGGGCAGAAATGGAAGGGATTACATTCCTTTTGGGGCAAAATGACAGAGTTATAGTTACTCTTTATTTTGTTTTCTTGAATCTTTTATCTTTACAATAGGAACTATATTTGCCTTCTACTCTAACTTAGATTTGACTTTGGGTTAAATATCTTTTTTTAATTAGAAGATTTATTTATTTACTTGAGAGAGAGAGAAACAGAGAGGGAGCCTGCAAGTATGAATGGGGGAAGGGGCAGAGGGAGAGAATCTTCAAGCAGACTCCCCGCTGAGTGCAGAGCCCAGTGCAGGGCTCCATCTCATGACCCACAAGATCATGACCAGAGCCGAGACCAAAAGTCAGATGCTTAACGGACTGAGCCACCGAGGTGCCCCTAAATCTTTTTTTTTTTTTTATATTCACTGTTCTTTGGTCTTATAATATAGAATCAGTTATATAGCTGAAAATGTTTTGTAAGTTCTGAGCACCTATTTTTGAGTCGCTTTCATTTAAGCTCAGGCCTTGAACCCTCTGAAGATCTTTCAGGGAAGGTAGGCCAGCAAGCCATTCTTTGAGAGATACCAAGCCAGAAGTGGGACAACCAGACCCCGGTCTGAGCAAAGCAGTGAGGTGAGTGAAGTCCGTGACATGGTGCCAAATAGTGACTTTTGTTTCCACCATAAGATTAAGTCTTGTTTCTTTACGAGGTATTCCCAAATCACTTTATCCATCACCCACCATTCACTCGGAGGTCTCATTTGCCCAACAGTCTGTGCTGAGTACGGAGACCACACCATGTGCCCTAGAGTGAGATGATTGGTCTGTAGGGCCTCGAAGCCCCCCATTTAATAACTCCAGCTCCTCTCTTCCCATGGGAGGTGTTTAAAACCTTAGTTCCCATTCCCAACCCCCAAACTGCTTACAATTTAGTTGAAAGCTAAATAAAGCAGAGGCAAAGAAACCAACTGCGCTGGAGCTGCCACAGACCCATACAGCAGTTCTGACGGTAGCCCTCCAAGGGAGGCCGCCTTCTGCGAATGACGACAGCCAGCCCTACCCCACCCTTTCCAACCTAAGTGAATAGCACACAGGGTTGAAGATCAAGGTTTGTCTCACCTGGCTGCCCATCTTCTTCCCACCCTCTTACTCCACCTCGGAGCAAGACAGGCAGTCCTGGAAGTTTGGGAACCGGAATGCCGCAGATGAAGGACCACACCGGGCTGTCCTCAGCTTTAGTACAGGACCGACCCGCAGACCTTGCCTCGTTGCATTTATTTGCATGATTTCAGTCTCTTCACTCCAGCCCAACCCACCCCAGCGATTTCCCCAGATTGTGTTAGTTTGCTAAGGCTGCTGTGACAAATATCACAAACTAGGTGGCTTACACTGCAGAAATCTATTCTTTCGAAGTTCTGGAGGCTAGACGTCTGAAATCAAGGCATTGGCAGGGTCATGCTCTCTTTGAAGGCTCAAGGAGAGGATTCTTCCTTGCCTCTTCCTGCTTCGGGTGGTTGCCAACAATCCTTGGCATTTCTTGGCTTGGAGAAAC